AAAAAAAAAAAAAAACTTTATTGCTAGCTGTGAGAACGGACTTGGTATCAGGCAATGGTGGATCTGAATCGGCCACTGTGTGTACAGAGTGAGGTACAGCCCCTTTGTGCATTTGCTACAGAATGCAGAGGAAGCTGACGAAAAAACTTGTGAAATGTGTTTGAGTGCTGGGCTTGTAGTAAAGGCTCTTCGGTTGTTACCATTGGGGAAAACGCAAATACCGCAGCCTGGTCCTTCATGTGGTATAGAATGCAGCTTTCCAAACCCATGGTGCCACAGAACCCCTGTGGGTGGACTTAGCACGTGTGGCCCTCTGCCTGGCCCTCTGGTGTCCAGCTGGACTTGGGTAAGCCAGGGGCAAGCTTGTCTTTCTCTGTTTGATTCTAACATGGCCCAGCCCCAAGGAAGTGATCTGTGTGCGGATGAGAATACGTGTGCGGTCAGTGAGGACTGCAAGTGTTGTTTGTGCCGACCGTGATCTCTCCCAACAGTGGCTGTAGTCTGTTGGCACAAACATCTGATATAAGCACTGCATTTAGAGTTAAACTTCTGGGAGAGGGTGGGGGTCGGGATAGAAAGAGTTCTCAGGTTTTGCGCGTCTTTCTGTTCCTTCTTTTTAGCGCCTGGGAAGTCACCGTTGTTTTCTATTATAGTTTCTTTCAGGACGGCTTGAAAACGGCCGATAAGCTGAAACAGTACATAGAGAAGCTGGCTGCAGATTTATATAACGTAAGTTCTCTGCGCCGCACGTCCATTTAACTCGTAGTCAGCGTCAGCCCCATTGGAAGTCTGTATCCAAAGGGTATTAAGCCGAAAAGGCCAGTGGTGTGCCAGTGCAAACCTAGCAGAAAAGCCCTTGTTTTAGTAGCTAACCCTTGGAGGCTGTGAGGAGTCGGGAGACACGTAATATAAGAAATCAAATATTAAACTTTTCAGAAGGAAAGTGGAATGTATACACAGTGATGGCATTATTATCACTTGTAAGTAAAGCTGGCTGGTGAATATTAAAATACGTTAGGAATATGAGTTAGGAATATGAGTACATACTTTTAGAAAAGGTTTTAGAGTCACAAGTAACAGATTAGCATTCCTGATGGAAGACACTCTAAAATCTGAAACCCTGAGGACAACTGGAATGGAAGCATAAAAAGAAATTCCACGGGCTGGAGAGATGGCTCAGAGGTTAAGAGCACTGGCTG